CTGGAATATCGTAACTCTCCTATTTCAGATGAAATTAAGTCACCTTCAGAATTGATGTTTGGAAGAAAAGTAAATGGATTGATAAACGATATGAAGACCATAAACAACATTTACTGAAGAGACAAACCTTACAAAAAAGTTATTATGATAGGAATGCAAGACCATTAAAACCACTGAAAACAGGAGATCATGTTTACATAAAAGAGAAAGGGAAAAAACTAAATGAAAGAGGGAAAATTATAGAAGAAGCAGAAAGACCACGTTCATATAGGATTATAAGAACAGATGGAAGAATTGTAGAAAGGAACAGAAGAGACCTTCTTAAAGGAACTAATCAGGAAGAGTTTGCAATACAAAACAACTATGAGAATGAAGTTATAGATGAACCCGAGATACATGAAAATAGTAGGAGCACTACAAATTTAGATGTGCCTGTAAGTCCTTCAAAATCTAACAGAAGTGTTGTGTCACCAAATAGTGAAAGAGGTATAGTATCATCAAATTTTTCAAATGGACATAACTACGTCACTCGATCTGGTAGGACTGTTAAGAAACCTTATTATTTAAAAGAATATGTTTAATTTTACTACTATTATTATTTTTTATAAAAAAGGGAGATGTTATATATGTAACTGTAACTGTATCTATTATTATCTTTAACCATAACTGTAATATGGTATAGTAGATGAGTAATGTAGAATAAACGATGTTTGTGTACATCTGGTAATCATCACTGAGCACGTACCCAACACATATAAAATACAACACAGCCGGTACTTACCGGCCATATTAGATCCTGGAGTACAAGCCAGTATTACAGAAATGAATAAGCTGGACGAATATGTGCGATGTTTGGCTCACTCTTTGAATCTTTTCTGTGTGCTTTCTGCCTCGTCTTTTCCCGAAGCAGTTAACTTCTTTGGAATTATCCAGAAGATATTTAGCTTTTTTGTCAGATTCACTATTCGATGGGATATTAAGAAAAGATGTCCAAAAACCAACTCAAAAGGAAGCAGCAGACGAGATGGTCGTCAAAATATGTGGCTGTCAAGCCCTTCTAACGAATTTACCAGAAGTAGTAAAATCCTTGAAAGGAATTAATTATCCTTCAAAGTACTATATTACTATTTCAAAATTAATTATTTATCAAAGTACAAAGCAGGACATCTGCTACATGTTGTAAAAATTTTTTAATTTATTATCAGCCTGACAATTTGAGTTAATATTCTTCGAGAAATCAATCGAATAAATACTGAAATTCGAATGGAAGATATTATTCTTGCGCATTACATCACATTAATGGAATGTCTGACCAAAACTTTTCAAAAAATGAGAGAAATTCCTACGGAATATTGGATAGAGGAATTTAAAGCGGCTGCCGAAAAAAATTGAGGTTGAACCTATTCTGACAAATAAACGAATTCTAAAACGCAAAAAGAATTTGATAAATTGTGCGAGGACGAATCACGAACATTTCATCATGTTCAGCTACTTTCTAATGCAATAAAAATTGTATTTGATCGAATCATCAGAAATTAAAACGAGGGTAAAGAGGGCTATTACACTAAATTCAAATTTCCATTTCTCAATGGTCGTGAAATATTGAATATATCAACTGAAGAAATGCAAAAGAATGGAGCAGATCTTGCATGAAAATATGAACGAGATCTCTAAACCCATGAGTTTTGTCAGGAACTTGCTGTTTTTAAAGAACAAGCCCCAGTGTTATTCATCGACATAAAAAAGGCTAGAGCTTTTTATCTCTTGCAACAGATCTACACCTATGATATTCAGGATGCCTTTCACAATATTTGTATTACCCTGCAGATTTACTATATGCTTCCAACTACATCCGTAAGCTGTAAGCGAAGTTTTTGTAAATTAAAACTTATTAAAAACTAGCTGAGATCATCGATGAGCTAGGAGCATTTATGAAGTCTTGCAACAGAAAATCAAACAGCACATCAAGTTCATTATGACGATGCCATAGATTTATTTTCAGAACAAAAGGCTCGCAGGGTAAAATTTTAATTTCGTAATATTTTAAGAGCATTAGGTAAGAACTTAAAATTATTATTGAAATAAGAATTATGAAAAGAAGTACAAATACTAACCTTTTCCTTTCAGCAGTAGCCCGCATTGTTGTTATGTATAGCTAATGAAAGTTAGTTAGGTAATTAATCAGCTCATCTGTTGTTCTAACTTATGTAATCTATTGTTTGTAACTAAAGATTATTTTTTTTACGAGTGCATAATCAAGGGTATCGAAAGACGTATATAATGTTAAAGGTACCATAAGGTATTTTTCATTCTTTAAACGTAACGTTTTTGCTAAAATCTTCTTTAAACATAACATTTTTTATAAGCATAACTATACAAATTGCTATTATCTATCACATAATGAATGTTTCTTTTATGTGGAAGTGTCCCGTTTTTTGATTTGTATGGAAGTATCGTGTGTCGAAATACTATCAGTGTGCTGTCAAGGAAAGTTCTAAATGTAAACAAAAAACACTCCATCTGGAGACCGAAGTCCTCGGAGCAGTGTTTCACTTGCAGTGCGGGATTGGCCCCTCCTTTTTTTCTTACTTCCATGGTCTGGATATTATGTTATATAGACATTATATCCATGGCTAGTTATTGTTGCAAATATTGCAAAATTGCGTATTTCAGAGAAAATGATTATTACAATACAAAAATAGTCTTTTGCGTGAATATGTAAATATTTATTATGTTATCAGGCTTTGTGAGGATGATAGTAGAGTTCTTGAGTAGGCTACATGAAGGCATTATTGTGAAATGAATATTTAACGTGCTAGGTTAAAGTTACTGTTAGTATCGAGAATTGATTCAAAATTATTCAATCCATTCTATTAGTGATTTGTAATTTGCTTATATTTGTTTAAATGAAATTTTTTATTATTTAGTAATGTCTGATTTCCATTTTTCTGCTTTGCTGAACTATTTTAGTATTTAGTGCTGAATCGTTTTCTATTAACATCATTTATTAGTGTGAGTAGGTATTGTTGCAAATATTGAAAAAAATCCCCATTTCAGGGAAAATGTAAATTTGATTATTTGAGTGTACTGGAGAAGTAACTGCATTAAGAGGGTTCGCACGGGTTTTTAATTATGTAACTTATGGTATGTATGTTCGGCCACTAGCGGCATGCGTAACTTGCATATGAGCCAATTACTCTTGGAAAGACCTCAGTGAAGACATCTTCCCTCTTAGGCAGGTAGCCCTCTTATGCTTTGCAATAAGTAAAGAAACTAAACCATTTGTTATATATATTTCTTTTAGAACGAAAATGGCACATAAAGAATTTCTTACTATAAAATGGATTTTACATTTTATCTCGAAAACTACCTATTTCTATGTTTATTTAAAAAACTAAAATTTGTTACAGAAACTTAAAGAAAGATGGGTAAGGGCGGCAATTTTAAGTTTTTGCCCCGCCAAGGAAAAATGCTAAATCCGGCGCTGTTTCAAAGTAACTTGAATAAAATGCATATACAGTACAAAATCCATAATCCGGACTCATTGGAACTTCGCCTATTCCAGATAAGGGTTTTTTCTGGATTATAGATCATCAATTTAAATCTGGTAAGATGGCATGCAGAAATTATACAGTTGAAAATATGAAACCGTAATTTATGAAATAAAGAGCAATTATGATCTAAAGGGTATCAAATTTTACAAAAAAAAAAAAAAAAAAAAAAAAAAAAACTTAATATTTATTTGTTTACTTTATTTATTAAACATTTCTTTCAATATGCACATGCGTAAAATTTGTGGCTTTGAGGTCCGGATTATAGATCATTCCGGATAATGGACGTCTGGTTTATGGACTTTGTACTGTATATCATTTTATGATTTGGTTCTTTGCTTCACAAAAATTTAATTTATTTACAGCTAATTATTTTTCTTGGGAGGTTGGATGAATATATATGTATTCTATCGTAATTAACTTTTTACTGCTAATAAAAAATTGCAAGATTATCTTAGTTACATTCAGACATGAGCACATCTGTCAGTTACCAGTGTTACTCTTTAATGGTCAATACTAAGGAGTTAGACTTCTTTCTATTGAAAACTAAAAATCTTTTGTTTATGTTAAAATAAAGTTTCATAGAACATAAACTGTTAACTTGGAATACATACCACATTTTTTCACGCATAATAATAAATTTCCACTTGATTTATTTTTGTATATGTTTGAGAATGCAACATGTATTCATTTTGCAGATTTCATGTTTGGAAGTTGAGGAACCCCATACATTTAGTTATGTGGCTTTCAATTTAAAATTTCCTCAACCAACATTTTATTTATTAATAAAACGTAATCATATACCATTTTAACTCAATATAAAACCTTCCTTACATTTTAGGATAAATTTAAGATATTAAATATAGGATGAATGTTTATTTTGACTTGCAATAATTCTGAGAAAGATAATCTTAGCCTTTTTCTCCCCTACCTCCAAAATTTCCTTGAAATACCAGTACTTTTATCTATGGCCCAAGACACTGTTACTTCTTTGTTTCCATCTATTGCAGTGACCAATGTAGTAGATGCCAGCCTAAATTGAAATTGCTCAGGTAGATGTGACTATTATAATTAGCAGTACTTTTGCAGTTTATATGTGTGGTTATTACCTCCGTGGTATATTTAAAGTTCAAATGGCATAATTATACTATATAGTATGACAATTGAACTCCTTTCTCTCATTCTGTAATTTAATTTATCAAAATATCCATAAATTAGACTTAACCATATTTTAGAACGGCAATATAGCAAAAAATGAGGATGCAAAAATCTTTGAGTAAATACTGTATTGATTTTTAAAAGAACTATGAGAACTAGCTTAAATAGCATGTGATCTGTAGGTCACAGTGTAGCCCACCAAAGATTTTAATGTGCCTTACCTACTGCTTTTTTTAATGTTTATTTGTTTTGTAATTTCTATTAATTTTTTAACTTCACATTTTCTTTCAGAAACTATTTACGCTGGTCAAAAGATGATACTTCAGTTGTATCATGTATTTCATCATCAATATGTTTGTTAGACTGTATTAAATGGAAATGTTTATGTTTATTGAAGTGCCATTATGATTTTAATATTCTCATTGCTCAAATTCCATACTTGTCATATTTTTTCTGTATGTGCTTTTTGTACTTTTCACCATAATGAAACTTTGTAATTAATAGTCAGCCAAATATGTGTTCTGAATTCCATTGGAGTTTTATGCCTTTTTCTATAATATATTTGGTTATATGATAGCAAAATTATTAAATTAATGTTAAATATTATAGATAAGTAGTATTTATTTTCAATTTAAGACCAAAAATAAAGTTGAAGATATTAAATGTTCAATTAATAAGCCATAGAAATGTTTAAAAAACAATTATTTAGATGTGTTTAACTGTAGGGTAAATATCTACCAGAATAAACTCATATTTATGCTTGAATGAATTATAAACATTATTGAGAAAAAGTGATTCTTTTTTTCAGTTCACTGGTAATGTAGATGTGGTTTGAAATAGATGTGTTACAATAAAGCTTTATGATTTATGTAATTAACTATATATTAGCAATTTTCTTTTATCTGAATGAGAATATTTTGCATATAATAGTGTATAATAATTTTCTTGTATCTTAACCCTTTTGGTCCTAATGGGCACGTACATCCCACAGATTGTATTTCATGGCCTGTTGGGTAAATAAAGCCCACTTTTAAATGGGTTTTTATGTTTTCAGTGTTTTTAAGAAATTAGGGAACAAATAGACTAAAGAAACCTGGCAACAATTTTAAATTGGAAATGGCACACTTATGTTTTTGAGCATGCTGATTACTTAAGTTTTGATTTGTCTATTCTTTTTTATTATTACTTTACAGTAAATACATTTATATTTTAAAGCATGCTTAGTATGAAGTAGTTCTTATTAAGTAGTAATTTAACTTTTTTATTGTCAGATTTAAGAAATTTTGAATAAATTCTTTTTTGGGGATATATTGTCCCAATTGTATTTAATGATGGGTTAATATGTCCCATCAGTGATCAAATTATTACATCCTGATAAAAATTTTTGTTGTATATGAACTTGTGCATGTGGCAGAGTTTACATTTTGTAATATTCATATTATATATTACCACAAATTTTTGTTTTGTTTTCTGAGACAGGGTAATATCCTAGACGATTGGGACAATAGTCCCAGTTGACAATACGATTGGGACATATTGTTCCAGGAGATTTCCAAGAAATGGGAAACGTTAAAAACTTTAAACTCATATTACAATTCTTTTAGTATGTCAAGATTAAATTAAACTACTTTTCATAGTTAAATTTTAATTATGTAAAAATCAGGTTGAAAAGGTTAAGGCAGACCGGGAAAAAAAATTTTAAATATATAAATATAAGAAATTGCTTGCTTAATGGCATTTAACAATTACAGGCTTAATGGCATTTAACAATTATATGCTTAATGGCATATAACTGTTAAACCAGCTCTAATTTTTCATTAAAAAAAGTATATATTTCAAAATAATAGTTAATCACTATGTCTTTTATTTTACTCTCAAATATGAGATATATATATATGCATAACTAATTTTTTATGGTTAACCTAAATGAATTGCATAAATTAAAAAACTGCATAAGCGTTGAAATAACATAATTATAAATAAATTAAAGCTAAATCTTACTTAATTTTTGATTAAGTGTCATCACTTTCCATTCTTTAAATAAAATAAATAAAATAGAAAATGTAAATGATTCAATAAATTGCATAAAAATGAACAATGAAAGAGGACATTATAATCCATATTATGAAAATTTATGAAAAACGAAAGAACAAGTAATATAAAAACAAATTAAAATAATATTACAATACACAAATTAAATAAATGAATTTACAAACACCCTACATTTAAAATTATGTAACATTAATTATAAATATATTTTACTACAGACCAAATTAAACATCTTAAAAAAAAAAATTATAAATATACTAATGAAAATATTCAAAAATATTAAACATAGATAAAAAAAAAATGAAAAAATAACAAAACAAAAATATGGCATTTCTGATTTGCGGAGTGGGGGAGGCTTATAAACTGTACAGACTAGTAAAATTAATAAAGTAAAAAGAAATAATCCAATAAACCAATATTTCAAAAAAATTAAGTATCAAAATATCAGGTATACAGTGCAAGAAAGATGAATTGTGAATTTGCTTATTGGTTCAAAAATTTTAAAACGCTATCCAAATGCATAATTTAAATAAATTCATAGGTTTAATTGTGTATCAGTATTTTTTTAAGTAGAATTGGAATTGAGTTTAAAATATGGTTATGATTAACAACATTTGTAAGTGTTTATATTAACCATATGTGTAATTAATTGAATTTTAATATTAGAATTTTATTCTTTTTTATATTATCCCAAATATATATGCATATGTACTCACTTGCATCTAACAAATTGTTAAACTTTTTGTTTAAAATATATGTAATTTTGTTGTACTTTGAGCATTTAAGTATTAAATGTTGTGCTGTTAAGATTAAAATTTTTACACATGTGTTGTTTGAAGATTTTAATTTTAATTTCTTTTTTTAGTTACCTCATTTAAGATTTTATATCTTTGTTATGTATATTTTAACATTTTTATATTTTGTGGCAAACTGTATTTTATATTTCTTCTTTCATAAGTAGTGTATCTTAGCCATTAAATATAGGAATAAATTTGCAACTGTATATGGTATTTAATCACATATGAATTTTTATCAGAAGTAATCCATCATTACACTATTATCTGTATTTTATTTTATATTTTTTAAAGAAAAGAATTTGTACACTGTTATTTTCAGTCTAACTATAAATAATTTTATGTGATTGAGGAGTAAACTCCAGTAAGGTATTTTCATGTGATTTTCTTAGAAGAATATTTTTTTTTACTTTCATCATGTATGTAAGATCCATTTATGATCTTATGTATTAAGATCATAAATAATGTAATAAGATTACATATAAGATCCATTATGAGCTTATGTATTATCTTGTTACATAAGATGCAACTTAAGATCCATTTATGCAAGAATATCTGAAAAAGAATTAACCATTACAAAAATGGTAACAAAGTGGTTATCTTTCTAAAAACATACATCCTGATGTAATATTTTTTAAAGTTTCATGGAAGGTCAATGTAAACCTTTTTCTATTGTTTTAAAAAAAATAATTATCAATCATATTGTTATTAAAAACACAACCTATGTATAAGTTTAATTATATAAGTTTACCAATTATATAAGTTTTGTAGTTCTTTAATGAGCACAGCTGGTATAATCATATTGACCTGAATGTAAGTTGATGTTTTTCCTTAATTTGTTGTTTTGTAAACCATATCCATTATATATGCATAACCTAACATTTTAAAAAATACACAAAGATAATTTATCTCTTGTTTTAGTCCTTTGACTTTATTTGATAAAACATGTGTACTTTATTATTCCCAAGTTATAGTATATAGATTAATTATGTCTTTCACGTAAAAATCATTCAACATATTTAACTTATATATATATATCTGGGTGGGGAGTTGAAGATGATAGCCAGAGTTTTAAATAACTGAAGATGCTCATCAGCCTCTTGCGCTGTTGGGATCTTAGTGGTGATTTCACATTGCGAACAAGGGCCATGCACACAGCATGCCTGCTTAGTGCGTCAACGTGTCTCATCTGTTGATTGGGTCGGTGGATAACTTCATATTCAAAGTCTTCAAGTAGTAATGCCCATCTAGTTATTTTGGGTGTCAGATCTTTTTTTTTTTTTTTTTTTTTGCATTGTTTTCTGGAATGCTTCGCAGTCGGTGACTATTTTGATTTTTCTCCCTAAGAGATAACTTTGAAATTTTTTTAAGGCTTCGACAAACGCTAGCACTTCGAGTTCATGACTTGACATTTTTTCTTGTTGGGGTGATGTTTTCTTACTCATGGAATGGATGTGATGCAACTATCCATCATCTGAGCGTTGAAGCAACACTGCACCGAAACCATGACTACTAGCATCCATATGTAACTCCAGAAGTTTTACCTTGCTTGTTTTTTGATCGGATCCCATTCTATGTCAGTAGCCATAAAAAGTTCACTCTAAGCCATTGCAGTAAAATCTGATGTGTCTATAAATTCTAAGCTGCTGCTCATCCTTATTTTGAAGTATCCCAGGACAGGCTCCCAGATTTTCTGCGGGTTGGAAGTTGAAGATGATATCCTTAAATAACACTTCCACACCACCAGACATTTAACGAATAATAATTGATAATAGAATAGCTACAGATTTGAATTAAAATAACTGTACCATTGCATGTTCTCACGCTTATTAGATACAGCATGACTTGTTAAATAGCTACTCAGATGACGCTTGTTAGATACAGCTAAGTATTTAAATAGCTACTCTTGCTTGCTATTTTAACAGAGTTCTTTTGTTACCACCTTCATGTGGAAACAGCATCTATCTTCATTGTCTTTCACCTCGCTCTTGCTGCAGGCGCATAGGTGATGCCCTCTGATGGCTGTGTTGAACTAATGGATACCCCATATATATGTATATATATATGGCTGCCTGTAAATGAGTTTGTATTCCAAATCCATTTTTCTGCTGATGTATTCACATTGTTAGAACATTCACTATAATTGTATATTAGTTAGATGTCATATGTCTTTTGAATTCTTTGTATTACAGAATGATGTTATTCTCATGAAGTCATTTTTTTAATCATAAATTTTACAACGTTCTATTCTATTTTATTTAAAACTGCAATATTATTAGCAGTTCTGTGCTGCAATTGCTGCAGATCCCAGGGGTATGAATGGTGTGTAAAATTAACAGTTATGAATTAAGTTAATCATGTAAAATTGCATTTAAAATTTATAATCTGTGTTGCTCATCTTTGTGTATTTTGATGTAAGAAGATCGGCACTTCAGTAGTGCCTAAAATTTCCCATGGAAAGGTGTCTTGAAATTTATGATTGATGCAAAGTTGATATGCTCCTCTTTGTTCATCATTATCAGCAAGTTCTTCGATGGGACCATTTGAAAAGATTGCTGAGGCAGCAAAGAATACATAGAAATATCCTCTAAAATTATAATGAAAGGGAGGAAGCATGCCCCTAGTAATCAAGATTTAAGAAGATTAACGCACAGAGAGGGCTTCTTCAGCCAATGAAACAGATGCTAGCCACACCCAGTTTCACTCCTGTTAATGAAAATACTATGTACAATTACATATTAGGAAACTATATGTGCTTGAATGGATGCTACTATGACAGATATTGTGATTAAAAAATACAGCTGAAATTGTAGTAATACAAAATATTAAAACAAGTGCTTCTTGATTTTGATTACATTTTAGTTTTACTAAATATGCCAGATACTCAAATTTCACACGCTATAAATACCACTTATGCATTGAAGAAGCTTAATGTAATGAAATGATATTTTATTTTTATAATTTTCAATATCCATGTAACAAAGTCGTCAAAAATTCAAATTTATTTCATGTTAAATTTCTCTTGCCAAAAAACTTAAAAATTGCTTGAATGGGAAGTAATAATACAAAGTAATGTAGATAAAATATAAAATTTATGTTATAACAAGTAGACACTTTAATGTAAGTATTTTCTTTTCCTTACTGCTCCACTGTTGTAGCTTAATTATGAGCATTGCATTTTTTCCTTCTTTCTACAGATTAATGGAAGTATTGTAATCGCAGAAAATTTCCATTTTGACTGGTCTTGCAGCCATTCGAAGGATGCTTTTGCATGACATCTGTACATATTGACAGAATGAAGGCCTCTCTTTTCAAATCAGATTGTAAAATGAATTTAGAAGTGTTTTATTTTCATAATGTCTGTACATGCATATGTATCTTACATAAGGCAAAAGCAAGTAACCTTAGAACATTGAAATAGGATTGCTATAACATGTGGTTGTGCGCCTCCCTTTTTGGTTACAATAGCACCAAATGTGTATATATATATATCACTCTCTTACCTGTCTTGTGAGCTCAGTTTTTTTATTCTTTCTTATATGTTTGTAAATTGTTTTTTTTCTCCCTTTAAAAGTGATTGAATTATGTTGTAGAATTATTAACAGTTTAAAAGTTTAAGTAGTGATCCTAATGAGGCTGCTTTGTTACAGGGCCCACTAGCGACCGAGAGGTAAAGTCGTTGTACACTGGTAGTTTGGTCCGGGGTTTGAATCCCGGTGAACGAGCTGGCTGTATGCGCATTTTCTTGCCTTTCCCCATGTGTAATGTATATATGAACCAGTTTCCCTTAAGTCCTCCAAGAAGGCGGGTAGTCCTCGAGTGCTTTGTTGTAACTAAGTAATAATAATTTCTTATATGCTACTTTTCTGGCCATCTGTTACCTCAGATTGCAACAATTTAATGATCTATGGGGGCTGGAGGTATAGAGGACAATTCCTGAGTATCTCATGAGTATCTGTTTCCTTCTGCAACCCCTTAGATCAAATTCATATCAGTGAGCCCTGCGTTCATGTAATGATACATACTGCACAAAAATGATGATAAACGTCAGCAAAATACTTTTATC